ATGAATAGCCGTATTTGTTTCTTTTGAATAATTATTAACCCATTATTCGTCCATTTTGCTACACGGCAGTAACTATCATTAGAACATCGTAATATTTAGACATTGAGACGTTTTTAGCAAATTTTACATTCTTTCACTATCTGTCGATAAAACTATCGACAACAACTACATGACTATTTTAAATTTTATGAAAACTGGCAACCCTGCAAATGTCATTTTAGTCCGTCAGTGACAAAGAGTAGACGACAGAGAAGACGGACTTTATGTAATCGTTAAGAGGGAGCAGAGGACAAATTCCTAATCTTCGATTGGATTTTAGAGGGGTATATCCACTTTAAAGTTAAAAATAAAATATTGTATGAGTAACTACACGATATATTCAAGCATAGACACTAATCAGAAACATAAAACAATAAAGTTTCCTCGATAGATAAAAATCACGAAAAGACCTCTAATTTTCATATTTTTTCGATTCATCCTCCAAATGCTACAAGTTATTAGGACAAAAATTACATAATTATGTAATTATATTTATGCATGATCGACAACTGTCACTACGGATTTTTTTAATCCCTTTAGTTTTAGAGTTATTCCGCTAAAACGAATTTAGTACTTTTAATGCGCTAAATTCAACATCTCCTGTCGCATGTCATGCGAACTTCAGGCATATATTTGTCACACAAATGTGGGCGGAGCCAACGTCAAAACTTTTTTGGCATGCTCCCTCTTAATAAGTTACGTAAATGAATTAATTGTCTTTGGAAATGATACTTTTCTTTCCATTGCAAATCGCATAATATATGTTTATTTTTCAAACGTTTTAAGCTCGTTACAGGTTTCATGGTCTATACTTTCATTTCAAAGGTATGAATGAAAGATTTTAACATGAAAATAACACGTGTAACTTTTTTTAAGGAAATGGTGAATCAAACTAAAGCCGATACCTTGAATTTACCGGCGAACGCTACATCGATAAGAGAAAATATCACAGACACATTTAGGTAAGTATTTAATTTTATTTTGCTCCTATATCTGTATTTATAAAATTATCCTTATAGAGTGTCAACGCCATCTAGCGCGCTCGAAGCGTACTCGCAAGTGTCCGACCCGATATCGCGACGACCGCCCAGCCCCGAATGATTCAATAAGTTTTCGAATGTAGATGGCGCTTCTTTTTAATGTAATTAATTCCTCTTTAATAATATTTTGTAGTAAGAGGCTAACTCAGTTAACTGATGCCCCCTTACTACGTTCAGGAATCAAACGACGTACTTCGGTGAAGATAACTTAATTTATTGTACAGAAACTTACAATACAAGTGTGTCCAATAAAAGGGATTCGTCCTGTTGGATGCAAACGCGGCACAGAGTCCACGACAAGTTCCGATGGATGCGAATCTTACGAAGTCACTAAGTCTGAGGTGTCCTCGTAACTGGTCCCGAAAGACGGGCGCGAGTTCAAAACGCTTCCTTGGTAATGAGAATAACCGTACAAATGCAATCGATCTATAACTTAGACAGTGGAAGAATAGATCAGATCAATTTCATACAAAATTCTAGTGATAGGATTCAAAAATTGTGTTTTCTAACTCATTGTGTTACAATTATATTTAAAAAATGTTTTTATTTTTTTATTATTGCAATACCAAGGAAAATAGAAACGTTTTTCATGTAAATAGATTTTGTAAGGATGTATATTTTTCACGGTTTTTTTAAATGCGTCAAATCAGTAACAGTTTAAAAAATCAGCTTCCATTGATGTGTAAAAAACAGCATCAACCCTGATACATATACAGGCAGAGAATGGAATTTTAAAGAATGATTTGCACGAACAAATATGGTAATAAGTAAACCACTTCCAGTAACTTCCGACTTAAGCGTGATTACCGATCCTCACCACCGCGTGCCCCAGTTAGGTATTCGAAAATCCGTTTGCCATCTGTGTTTGTCTGCGACATGATACCTCCCAAATGCAAGCGGTATTTTTTATTTGAAGACTACTATAGTCGGGATACTCGTCTGACCGATTATTTTATTTATTATTTATTTTGTTATGTTACGAAGGGTTAGGACGAGGAAGGCATGCAAGTTGTAGTGCCTTAAAATCGCAAAGATCTGAGGTGCACTGCCACTGAGTCACTTTGAGACATAAGTCGACAGTAAAGCTCACATTATTGTTTGGCTGCAGAAATCAGTAAGTACTTCTCTGGTTGAACTCTTTCTGGATACTTACTGGATACTTCTCTTACTGCTAATAAATTTGATCTTTGGAAATCAATATGACATTACAATAATATGGGAACCTCGATCTGTTTCTGCAACCTGGACAATCTGCAGACTACTCAACTCCAGAATTATCATGTTTGGGTTCATTGAATTGGTTTCGACGAGTACTTGGCTCACGACTTGATTTTATTCGCTTTTCGGTACTCTAAGCTACTTTGGTTGTTATAATTATTATTAATACAAAGATCGAACACTCAGGAAAAATTCCTTCGGTCCGGCCGGATTCGAACCGACGTCTTCTAGCATACCGTACCACAACGAACCAGCCCCGGAATGAACCAGCTGACTTCAAGAATTTTTCTATGTGTTTGTTGTGTTTGGTTTTTCATCGACTTTTTAGCGCCATCTATGAGAAATTGAAAGTATTTCGTCACCCAATTAGATACCTTTACAGCTACCAGCCCGGCAAGAGAATCCGCTATTCACTGTATTTAAATATTTTATTGAATTGATATTCATTATTTTTTATGTGAAATTCCCTCTAGTTTGTTACAATTATTAATACAAAGATCGAAGACTCAGAAAAAATTCCTTCGATCCTGCCGAAGTCGTACCGACGTCTTCTAGCATACCGTGCCAGACGCTATACCAACTAAGCCACGGAAGAAGAAAGAAACTAGTGGAGTAATTTCACATAAAAAACATTGAATATCAATTCAATAATATATTTAAATACTTTGGTTGTTTTATATCGTGGGTTTTTAAAATCTTAATCTAAGTTTTATTCTCTCTCGCAGTTGTGAAAACCGCACTTACGGCTATTACGCAGACGTCGACAACGATTGTCAAGTGTTTCACGTTTGCCTCACTTCCCAGTCTCCAAGTGGCCGCAATACCACCTACAGATGGAGTTTTATTTGCCCTAACGAGACTATGTTTAACCAGGTATTTTTTTTTTCTATCATATCGATGGCATACATTGTAATGTTTGCTATCGTGGTGAGAGGATGTGCTAATCGGCGTAATGTAAGTTTTCTATATCTCGAGTCTGGGTGTTTATGGTGCCGTCGTTCTTTCGCTGCCACGAAATGTTGGAACGACATTCCACCACCATTAAAAAATTACAAATCTGTTGCATCCTTAAAATTGTCTTTTGAGAAATTTTTATTATCTAGCCAGGTATCCAACAGCACTGGCAGTCGTGCGGTGCGATTGTGACATATCACTACTGACACTAATATCACAACCACACATACATGGTAACACAGTGATCACACAATACACGCTCACACAGAATCTACACGTACTCGCAGTTTCTCCTTTTTTGAATTGAATTTTCATATTTAAATTAAATTCTCTATTTTTCTTTTTACTTGGTCGAAGCCACTTTATTTTTGTTAACTGTAAATTGTTGACTTCAGTGAAAATCAGCGTAACGAGATGTTTCCCTACGTCTCGTTACAAATAAGCTGAGTGGAGACATTTTTGGTACCATCTTAAACATAATACTGTTTTATTTTAAGTAAATGTTATAATAATTTTATTTTAATTTTTGTTTTTACGTTCTATTTGTATTATGGTTACCAAATAACTATTTTTCTTTCTTTCTTTCTTTCCAATTTCCATAACACAAATGCTTTAGCTACTTATTTTGGGATCAGAGCAACACATGTGATGTTATCCAACACTTATTTATTTAGTTTGTGGTTATCAAGTGACGGAAGGAACAAGTCGTTACGACTGCTATAGTTTAATTACAGGCACATGGGCAGTGGCAGTGCCCCTCAGATCTTGCGATTTATAGCTCTGAGTGGGTGCAACTGTTATGGACAGGCGTGTAGTTTACTATCAAGCGCACGACTTGTTCGTCGCGTCACTTGATATTATATAAAAAAAAGGGGTTTATTTAAGGGGCTTGGTGTCGGCGGCTTTATTTCTAATCTAATCCCATAACATGATTCTAGAAACAAGGCCGCAGACACAATCCCGCCCGCGTCGGCGAGTTCGGTCCCTAGGCCTCTTTTTACGCTTACTAATAATGCATCCCACTTACCCGCAACAGTTGCAGTGTCACTAAAACCTTTGATTGCAAAGATCTAAGAAGCATTGCTACTGCACCCGTCCTCCGTGAAGTTGACAAGTCACATGTTCCTGTATTTTCAGCCCATTTTTCTCTTTTGCAGGAAGTCTTAACCTGCACAAGACCACGAGATGCAATCAATTGTGAAGATTCTCCGATGTACTACTACTTGAACATGGACATCGGCAAAATGCCTAATGACACGAAAGAAAATTCAGAGAATGAACAGAGAAGGAGACCTTTAAGGAAGCAAAAATTATTAATGCAGAATTTATTATCAAAAGTAAAGAAAGATATCAAAATGATCGACTTTGAAAAGGTTGAGCAACCTGAGATTGAATTGTTACCTGTAATTGAAGATGAAGTTTTAATAAATGTAAAAGATAAAAGAGACAACGTTGATGAAGAAAAAGTAAATCATGAAGTGAATGAAGAATATAAAATCAAAGATAAAAAGAAAGCAAGATTGGGTGCAGGAAGGAGTTTGAAAAATTTTGGTAGAAAATCTAGAGGTTCTTTTAAGTATAAGACGGGTGTCTAATTTCAGACATTGATTTTACCGGTAGAGTTTGCAAGTTCAGTCACACTTACGCGTGAGAAATATGCGTTCTGTTTCTTTTTTTAAATCCTGATAATCTATTATGAAATGTCATTGTCAAAAACTAAACGTCAAAAGAATCTATCGTTTTTTTATTTCATGTCATAAATAAAGCATTTACACCCGTATTAATAACCACAATACAGTTAAGTATAATCGGTCTTTATACTTGTATCAACAAAAAAGATCTAGCAAAGGTGCTCATGAAGCTTGCCGCATTTCCTCGCTGTAAGGCAATGGACAATCTATGCGTCAAGAACAAGCCAGCGCGCGAGGCATCTCCGCTCTCTCTTAACCGTTGCCCGATTTCCGCTACCAGTGGCGAGGTGTCCACAAAACTCGATTTCCACCGG